CAAAAAGTTAAGAGCTTTTAAGTAAAAATAGTGAAATTAGAAGTTAATCCACATGAGGTCTTGCCTAAAAAAAGGAGGAGGAGGAGTTGCACAAAGTGGGAGCTTCCATCTTAAATGAATGGTTACTGTTTGACAGAATAGCTATCCAGGCATTATACAGTGACTTCTTTTTTTTTTTCCCTAAACTATAACAACACTACAGAACACAGTAAAAAATTATTTACAGCTTTCACGTGTCTCTCATTATTCAGAGACCTGGCACTGCCACCAGCATTTAATACTACCCAGTACTCAACCTTCTAAGATCTCTTTTCAGATGCTGTAACACTTGTGAAGTAGGCATCCTACAAGCATCCTGAAAGGAATTAATTATTTTGCATACTTCACAGGGTTTGGAAGCTAGTAAAGCTTTAAAATCTCCATTGAATGGGGAGGTCAGAAATACATACTCAACTCAGTAGTAAATGTGGCAACCAGCTACGGGAGACGCAGGATGTGATCATACAGTTACAGGGTGCTTTGTTGATAAACAGCAGAGGTGGGTTAAAGTTATATCAGCAAGGTTAATTTATTTCCTGGCTGTTGACCTCTGTGCAATTTTAAAGATTTATTTTTTTCCTTCAATATAAAACTTTTTTTTTAAATTTTGAGGTAAAGCTGTATAGCCAGGTAAAAAAGCTTTAACAGTTTACTCTGTTATTTTGGGAGAGTGTTTTCTATCTATATTAGTTATAGGTAGAGAAAACCAACTCAAGGAACAAATTAAGATATTTATTTATGTACTGTTACAAATTTGTTTTTATCCATTAAACATATTTAACAGGACAACCTATTTGCACTCAGGCCTTTCAGCATTTTGATTAGCTAAAATATACACTTTTGGTGCCATAGAAATTATGGTCAAAAATAATTCTCAAAGACATACTTGGGGGACAAGAACTTTAAGCAAAATAACTCAAGTTGAAATAGTCAATTCCCTTCAACAGTGGTTTCTATTTCATGAGATTATATTCTTTACACTAGCAAACTATATACAAACAATACCACAATACTATAAATGCAAAAATGTAAAAAATATACACAAACATATACACAAATTGCTGTGTTTCTGTCTGAGCTACCTTACTACTTAGAAATCCAGTACAAATACATGATTTGTATTTATGTACTTAATTTGTAGTATCTAATTTTAAAATTGTAAACAAGATTCAGCATGTAGAGCAACTTAAAACAGTTGTCAGAAGCTTAAATCATGAGGCCTGGAGACTGAAAGAACTATGCACACTATGGATCCAAACTGACATAAATACCCACACCTTTTCTGACAATGCTTATATTGCTGTGAGATGGACGATATTTTAAAAATTTAGAAGTATTTAACTACTCTAAACAAATTATTGGATGTTACTGTTTTACAAAACGCATATATTTCAATAATTAAAGTAAAATCAGTATCACATTAGCAGGTATATGGATCATGTTCAGTAAGAGTATCATCTTGTTCATAACCATTTAACAGCTTTTTGGTTTATTAAGAAATCTTTCTTGGCAACTCAGTGAAGCAACTGTAAGTGAAAGCAAGCAATGGATGTTCACAATCAATGACTTAATGAGAAAAAACCAGACACATTCCATAAGCACATATGAGCTCACTGGTGACTGACCTAATGCTTATATTAGCCAAGTACGCACAGGTTACACTGCACTGCCAAAAAGCTGGGGTGTTTAGGAACTGCCAACAGATACAGGAAAGAAAATGGAAGCTGCCTTTGCATGGATGTGATGATTTGTTGCTCTCAGTCACTGCTAAGATTCCTATAAAGCATGGTTTTTGTCTTGTTTTGGGTTGTTGTTTTTTTTTTTTTTTCCCAAAATATGGCTGACTTTTCTCAGGTACTTCCCAGGCACTCATCAATGTATCATCTGAAGTGCCAGTATGCTTAAGAAAACCCAGGACGACATTTCTGTCTATCACAACAGTATTGGACTAATAGTAGTAGCAGTAGTAGTATTAGTCAGTTCAAGAATTTGAACATCAAACATGGACTGTGCAAGTTTACACTCACTACAAATATGAAAAGTGCTATAGCAACGGATTTCAGTGGAAAATTCAAGTACAACAATATTTTTGCACATCTCCTTGCACTAACAGAGAATGCAGTAACGTATCCATAGGCTTCCATTTCCAGGAACTACGTCCAGAGTCAAATCTCACTTTGCATATTAAATGCTTAGTGTATTGAGCAGAGCATTTGATGCATCCCTTCTCATACACGATATATACTTTTTGATTTATAACACAAAGCTACGCCATACAAAACACATTTTGAAAACAAGGTCCTAATGTAAAGACTAGTTCTGAGAGTTTTGAGGGGTTTTTTTTTTGTTTCATTGGGTTTTTTTGTTTTGTTTTGGTTTTTTTTTGGGGGGGTTACATTTAAAACACTGCAAGATCATGTTATAACCAAAAAACAATCAAAAAATTAAGAAACTGCTAGTAAAAATAAAATGTTGGAAAAAAATTAAATCAATTTAACTGAAAAGCCTCAATAAAGTGCAAGCAGTAAATGCTAGGGTTTACATAGTGAGAAGTGAAGTTTAATAAATCTGTATTGCTGACAATGAGAGACATTCTATAAAAATGTTTTACTTTGACAGCATGCCCTCATATAAAAGTATATTCCAATCGCATTGCAGTACAATCAGATCATGACAGAACTGAAAATGAAATGAACACTGAAATGCCACTGCTCCTTTTCAGCAATGTCAAAAAGTAATAAAATATGTAGATATATACTATTACAGTATACTCCAATTAAGTGGACAAACTGGACCAGCCAAAATGACATAGTATGGTAATTGCAAATTAAAATGATGCATTGCTACTTACTTGCATTGACTCATCATCACTTCTTGAGAAGGCACTCAGGAGATGCCAAATTGCAAAGATGGAACTCATTCCCATGCAAAATGCTCAAGCTGTGAGCTCTCGTTAAAGCAGAGCTCTCTAATTACTGGACAGAAGTATGAACTGCAGTAAGCACTTTTACAACAGAAAATATGTCATTAAATCTGCAGGCATTTGTCCTCTCAAAAGCACCTCCTTCTGCTTACAGCAAGTTGTTTAACTGAAATAACCAGGTCTTCAAAGTGTACCGCGACTTCCGTGATTCCAGTGAATGAAAACAAAACTTCGTAATATCACCTGTAACCCAACGTAAGAATTTCTTTGTACTTGGAGGTTTGTGTTATGAAAAATAATAAAGCAGACTGCAGAAGTCTTCCCAGTAGAGGGGATATTTTCAAATAATTTACACTCCAACCAGATTCTTTGGTGTTCAGGAATAGCCAGTATAGTATTAGGATGAACAAGCAGTAACTATGTTCCTTCATACCTTCCTATTTGTCCTGTAAGGCCCATCAGCAAAGGTTTTGCTAGTGACAGGTATTAAATAAAAGAAAGGGAAACTACTTCCTCACCACCCTTAGAGACTGAAGTCTGACTAAAAGCATCTGACGTCCCTCTTTCAGTGGAGATCTTCCACATAGCATATTTGCAGGATTTCCACTTATGAGAAGCACAGGACTATGACAAACTTACATTGTATTTTGAGAATTTTTCAATTTTTTCTGTTCAGAATAGTCTTTACTTTTTATCCTCCAGCTTTTGCTAGTATAAGGAAAAAAAGTTTATCCCTGCACAGCTAGTCCTGAGCCTTTTAACTGCTCAGAAAAGGCGCAATGTCAGTTGCTTAATAAAGCTCTGTGGAGATGCTGGTCATCTATTGAACTGTAAATAATGTCAGTACCAACTTTGATTTTTGAAGTTTTGTTGTCTTTTAAAAAAATCTTCTCACCCATCCCCAGTTCAAATTAAATGATCTCAAATACTCATTGTCAAATAACTGATGATGAACAATTTAAATTAAAAATATCTTGTGAGAGTAGCAACTTTGTAACAATATGAACTTTAAATAGAAGCAGATTATTAAAATAAAGTCTGTATAGAATTTTAACTACGAAATTATGAAATAATTTGTTTTTACTTTACTTAGGATTTCTTATTCTTTCAAAGAACTGTTGGCCACAATAATATTTAACTGCTGTCTTCCTGGAGAACAGTTATTTTTAGCATTGTAATCAGTGTAATAGAAGACAAAAGCATTTTTACATATAATAAGCAGTTTAAACAAATTTAAGACACTTTTCTGTAGGATCATCATCAAATGATGCTCTTTTCAATAATTTGTGTAAGCTTCTAAACCACATAAAGGATAATGCACATTACATTTTATTCACACTATAAAAAAAGCACAATATACAGGCCATACCCTTTAAAGTGCAACACAACAGAACATTTCTGCAACATTCAGGTTCTTCAAAAACCCACAAAAGTAGGTATTTAATATTTAGGAACAAATCCTGTTCATAAGTATATCAACACTGAATCTAAATTCTGAATGGTTATCCAGCTTGCCCTGGCTGTAAGTACCACGCTAGAAGCGATGCTTATGAGCACGAAATGATATTATCTTATCTGCTTCCATATGACATAGCCTTCATGTCTCATGTCCAAAATGAAAGCTTTTATCCTCTAATCAGTGAAGAGAATCTGCAGAGAGTTCTTTGACTATACTCAAAAAACATCTTTAAAGTATACTTCGTTTCACCATACAGGCTACTGCTTCAGATGTTAAATCTACCAAAAAAACCATGGTAAACAGAACAGAGCAAGCATGTCTCTGAGTTGGCAGCACATGCTTCGCTATGTTTGGCACGATCTACCAAATATATTGGTAACACAGAGCATAAGCAAGTACCAATCTGCTTTTCACTTCATAAATATTTTTGGTTGGATGTTTCGCTTGTAATAGTTGAAAACCTCATTTGTTCCTGAGATGAGCATGATAAAACAAAGTGAGCTCCATCTAAAGCTGATAATGGGACAATCTTCTGTATTTCCAGTCTTGCTACCTGCCAGATGAGCCAGATTTATAACCTCAATCCTCTCCAAGGCGCCATTTCTGAGACTCTTCTTGACGCACATCTGGCCTGATCTGGTTTCTCATACCACCTAGAACATTTGAGGTTGCCTCTGTTGCAACAATGAAAGGTTTCACCACAGTTGGTGGAATTTGTCGGAGGACTCCTCCTACTGCTCCAGTTACTCCTCTGTTTTCATGCTCACGAGCAGCAGTCTCATAGATGGTTTGGGCTGTGTCCGTAATCCCCTTCAAGAAATTAATATAAATTAGTTACACTGAAAAAGAAAAAACAATCTCTCCTAATTTTAAGGGAAACAGACTGCTCAGCATTTATCTTTTTTGTGATTTTTATTCTAGCTGTAGTACATCTCTACTGATACAAATATGATTCAGTTCTTCCAATGAGGCTTAAAGTAACACTACTATCAACTTACAGATAAAAATATTTCATGTAACTTCTGGTGGCACTTCTTGTGCATAAGGGAAGAATCTGTGGGGTACTGTGAGACATTAAAAAATGACAGAGAAATCTGAAAACTCCTCAGCTGACACCTAACTTCCTAGACATAGTACCAGGTGCAACTGAAAGTACAATACAATAAGTACAATAAAAACAGGTCAGCATTCTAAATTTTAATACATTGTCATGGTAAGAGAGCTTACACTTTTTAAACTGTAATCTCTCAGAGCTGTAGAACATTGAACTTCTATTCACAATTATCTGTGTAACATCTTTACTTCTGCTTCTCCAATTTTTCCATGCAGGGTTTCTGTTGGCTTAAAATTACTGATGAAGGCAGTCTTGATCAAAACTTAAAATCCCCTTCTTTATTTGGTCAGCTTAAGCTAACATCTGATATTTTACTTGGTGTCTTAGGAAATAATTCTCAATTTGGTTAAGGACAGTTAGTTTTGCACTCACCTCTTTTACTACACTATATGCTTTGGCTACACCTTCCCGTAGGTCTACTGGCTGATGAGCTAAACGATGGCGAGGGAACCGTTTGATCTTTTTTGCTTCAATAAAAGCAGGCCCTGGTGAAACCATGTCATATGCAGTTTCTGCAGCTGCCTGAAGATTAGGAACAGATGGAAAATATGTAAGAAGTCTTAAAACATCTAATCATAAATTTAAACTACTAACAGGGTAACATAATTGAAATAAAATAATTTTAATTTTACAAATAGAACAGATTATTCCAGTTGGAAGTGACCTACAATGACCATCTCATCCAACTGCCTGACCAATTCAGGGCTAACCAAAAGTTAAGCACATTGTTAATGGCATTATCGAAATGTCTCTTAAACACTGACAGGCTTGGGGCATCAACCACTTCTTTAGGAAGCATGTTCCAGTGTTTGACCACCCTCTCAGTAAAAAAGTGCTTCCTAAACATAATTTACATCAGATTACAGTTTTGTACAAGAACTTCTGGAATGGATGCAGCTGTAACTGTACAATAAGTCCCATAATGAAAGAATGAATGTCGTAGGTTTTGGTATGTTTTTTTCCTCCCTAATTGTCATTCCTTCAAAGGCGTCCTCTGGTCTGTACAAAACAGTCAAGATAGAAACTGAAACATTTGATCAGCGCTATGTTTTTCTTACAAACACACAATCATACACATAATTCCATTCATATGGATAACACCTCTGGTTTTTTTACTATAGGTTCAAGCTTAGGCATATATACAATTTTTGCAAAATTAGGTGGTAAAGGTCTATTTGCATTAAGGAACATAAATTTATTAACACTTTAATCCTAGACTATTTTAGGGCTAAATACAGAAAGCTTTAGAGACTTTGTGTACATCAACACATTAGTATTGGTTTTGAGGTAATTCTTTCTGTTTGGTTAGGGGTTTTTTTGGTTTTGTGTTTGGGTTTTTTGTATGTTTGTTTTTTAAATAAGCATAGATAATCTCACATTTTAAAAAAGTTAAGAATCTATTGCTGGAAAATATAGGTGTACGGAGAACTCGTCTTTCTTAGTATCAGTGATTTTTTAGTGCAGCTGAGTACGTTAGTATTAAACTGTACATTCTTATACATTAACAAAGATGTTAATAAATATGTGACAACTTGAGTGTTCAGCAATATTTTAACACAATTTTCTTACTACTGCATTTGATGCCATAATTCTCACCTCACAGACTGCTGCAAGCTTTGCCCAGTCTCTGCTTTTCTATGTATACAGCTGCTTTTCTTTCCTTTTTTTTTTTGAAGACATACTCACAATCTTAAATATTAGGATATTACATTCTAGCAATGTTTCTCACTTTATGTCTAAGTACAGAAGTAATACACTATACCTGTATAGTCTGAACCATTCTGTTTGTTAGTTCCAGTGCTGCCATTGCAGTGGAAGTACCAAAAGAAGCTGCTCCTCTTTGAAAGCCTCTTACAATACGGCCATCCTTTCGGTACTGCTCTATTGGTAACCACACCAAGTCTTTCAGACCTTGGACTGAAAATGAAGACAGAACATCATAGTTAGAAAGTTCTCTTAGATAAGCAGAATGCCTTGAGAGGAAGGGAAAACAAATGTCAACATCGTTTGTGGGTTTTCTTTTTGCTGGGTTTTGTTTGTTTTTTTAAAACAACCACCATACATGCCTGAATAGAAATAAGAAGTAACTTACCTAACTGCACTAGCGAATGCATGGGCCCTACTCCTCCCAGAATTCCTGGTAGTTGGTTTTTCTTTATATCATTAAGCCATTCACTGATGGCATAGGAGAACAATTTATCCACGCCTAATAAACTGAAGTAAATACAATTACTATTTTTTAAAAACAACCCCCACAATTCCTAATAAGACAAATGCATTATTCACTGAAGTAAACAAAGATGTCATTTAATCAAAAAGAAAGCTGTTTTCAAGCATGATCTTTTGTTGCTCTTGGCTAACCCAAGTGTTTCACGTGTATGTGCTTCATAAAACAGAAGCTCAAGACTGCATAATCACACAGAGTTTAACAGGAAGTAAACACACAACTAAAATTAAAAGACTTTAGCACCAAGACTAGCACATATATTAAATACTATCCTGACAATAGATGTTCTTCTTGAAAGCTATATATTTGACAAAAACTAGAATCAAGAAATATCTGTGAAGTCAAAAAGTGTCTTGGATTTTAGAAATGCATCTTATTAGAGAATTTGCTTTTTGCTTGCTATGTTCAGTTATCCACAATAAACTTGGTCAATTTGCAATACCAATATTAATCTACAATTCAATAAGCTTACCCATGTCTGTAACAAAGTCTCTTCAGCTTTAATTCTGAGCAGTTTAACTGAGCAAGCCCAATAAGAATCCCAGCTAGTGTCCCCTGTAAGTGAAATATTTTTTTTTTAATCACATGAGTTTACTCATCCTGTACAATCTGTAAGTCAGAAAAAACTTCATCATCTCCACTCTTATTGCAGGTATTTTTATCTAAGCTGATTCTTCCTCAGTCTTCCAAATGCACCATGAATTATGTTACGTGAAAACCTGTAAAAGACTGAATCTGGCTTAATCAGCTACTCTACAAGAAATCCTCTACAAGAGGATTTCTTCAGAAATATTAAGATACAACAAATTTTGTAAACATAGCTCTGGCATTAGTGTGTCCCAGGCATTCTAAAGTCGCTATTTCACGCTTTGATTTCTTTGGCAGCAGTGCAAATTCAGGAAGTTGCTGTTTTCACTTGTCCATATTTTCTGAACGATTTGCCAGGACAGAGTACAAATCTAGTTACGCAAACAGGATTTTGTTAGGTCTGCTCTGTACACTCAGTATGATAACCAACACATATTTAAAAAAGAACTATAAGCATTTTAATCTGTATTAAGATTCTGCCATTGCCACTGAAGCCCACACATTACTAGGCTGCAAGAGAAGGAAACAAGGAGGGAAAAAAAAGATAATATTTTATTCTGGCATTAATGAGGAAGAAAATAAAATACACAATTCTGGCATCTTACAGTGGTATATCACCCTTTGAGGGGCACCACAGCTGTATATAAAGATTTCCAGCCATTCACTGAGTTGAAAAATGTGACTTTCAAGCCTCATTTTGAGTTAATCATACCTGGAGGATCCACCTCCTAGTTTTCAAATAAGAGTGAAATAAGGTTAAGCTTTATTGAAACTAAGGGCGGGGGGGAAAATGTTCTGCATGTCTCAAGATCATATCAGTAATGAGTAGTGAGCATAAAAATACACCCCATTTCATGGTGTGGGGAAACCAAAACAAACAACATCAATTTTTTGTTCTACAGCATCAGCACTGTACACAAACCTGATCCATTGACACATGTTTGCCGTGGTAATCAAGCCGTATTGGAACTTCTGACGTAAAACGAAATTCTCTGGAATATACAAAGGATATTTTTCAGTGAGAAATATGAAAAGCAAATAAAAATATCCTTCCAAAAAGAAACCCATGGTTTCCCATCCTCCTGGAATAGGATGCCATACCCTTTTCTGTAAACCATAAATCCTCTAGTTACCATGTTAGTACTTTAGAATAATTGTACAAAATACAATGGCAAATTCAGCTTTTCTTGGTTTATTAACATCTATTTGAAGTTAGTATTTATAATAAATTTACCAGTCTTGTAAATGTGCTACTAATCCTGCAGGTGAACATCTTCCCTCAATTTTCACACCATGAATTTCAGTTAAAAAAAAAAAAAAAAAAAAGTATCACTAATGATGGTTCTGTGGGCAAAATTTAGCCCCTGCAGCTGGAACTTATTGAAAAATTCTGTTGGTGATGTATGTGATGAAATAGAACTATAGTCATTCTCTCACAATTTGGCTCTACACTGCTTACCAAAGCACACACCTGTTGTTAGAGACACTTATGATTTAAATACAGAAGAAAAAACTTCCGTATAACAAGCTGCAATTTTTATCATCACTTCCAACTCAGGACTATGTTAGAGTTTTCTTGAGATATTTTAATGTCGTACCTCTTCCATGATATATCCTCTTCCTTTATATACACTCATCTCTGGTTATATTATATCTAATTTACATTGTTAAACATAAAATTTACAAAGACTGATCTTTTTATTTATTTGTAAAACATATCATTAGTGGTTCTGTACATGGCAGAGCTTTACTTAAATTTGTTTTCTTGTGCACAGTAGTGTGCAGAAGTTAATAAAAAAAGTCACTAGCTACTTTCCAGTGATAGAAACAAATATATTTAATTTCCACAATCAGTCAATAAACAAACAAAAAAATGCACCTGGTCATATGGTCTGAATAGTTTATTATCACACTTTCTTAAAACTTTCAGCAGAACAGCTGTGTGTCACTGGAAATTCTGTAATGAAAGCTTACCTGAAAAATACTGGCTGATCGTTGTATGACGTCACTTCTTGTGAGAAATGATGATCGTCTCCATTAACCACATCCAGAGAATCAATGCTACCATTTTCATTTGCTTGCTTGTGTGATGAGAAAGAAATGACTGGACTTGGGTCCTTAAGGCTGCTGACATGTCTGGGCAAACTACACGTAACTTCAGCACCAGGAGACTTTTTAACTAAGATAAGAAGTTATGCACAATAAACCAACTCATATTATTCACAGTAATCACAAAATTATTTTTATAATAGTTACAAAATTATTTTTGTAATACAAAATTACAAATTTTGTATTGTACACAATTACTGTGTCCTTGGTAAACTCTAAAGCTTATTAACAGGAATTACTAGTAGGAAAATATTTTTATTCTCTTAGAGAGATAATATCTAGAGTTATCAATAAAAATTATTACAAGAAGCTTAAATTGAGGTTTATGTATCAGCATAAATAATCCACCTAGTTTTAACGGAAGTATTGCAGAGTGTTGCACTAGCCATGTATTTCAGTATGATGTCTCACAGAAATAAGTAAATTATAGCTGCTAACAAACTTACAAATACAGTTATTAGTGGAAATATACTGGTTTTTGCATCAGATTGTGTAGTTGATTAGAAGTACTGCTTTAACTGTACACATACATTGTACTGCTTATTTATAATCTTGAACTCTGTTCCTTTCTCTAGGGGTTATACAACTTCAAGCTATTAGACAGTCCTACTCTTTTGTGCAAGAGGTATTAAATAATGTATTTATTTTATCTAATTATAACTTCTAACACTATATACGCAGTCCTCAATTTTTTCAGTAGCTCTTATTAATAAATATGTTCCAATTTTGGTGAAACCTTTTATACAATGGAGATCCCAGGTGTTGAAAACCTTTGTTAGTATTCATAAAATACAAACCAAATACCCAAAGTTTCTGTGTTTTAACAAATTCATTACTGATGTTGGGGTTTGGTCACTAATACAAGTTCTTTTCCACACATGAGATTCATGTGTGAATTTACAGACATGTACACCATTAAAAGAGAAAGAAGCAGTTTCATATTAGATTTTTGAAAAGTATACCTTCAGGATCTGGAGTAACTAAGAGTTCTACTTCTGTAGAGAGGCTAGTGAAAAAATCCTTCAGGAAAAATAAGGCATCCTATGTAAAAAATAAAATACAATTAGGTTAAAAAAAATTATCGAAAAAAATAATATCTATTATTCCAGCTCTTTATTTCTATATGGATACAAATCAAAACACATTTCTTCTTCTTTTTGATCCTTTAACAAGTGCAGAAGCCACATAAAAATCTAGGACAGAAACCAGAAAGACCTTCCTGGTCACTGCCTCCTGGTACATACAATATGTTTTCATAATCTGTCTAGCTCTGTCTTAAAACTCCAGGGTTGTTTTCATTCCCTCTGTTCTCATTTTGGAGACTGTTCCAGAACTTGTGTTTTACAGGCTATAAACTCTTCTCTGATTTCCAACAAAAGGGTATTCAAGTATAGCTCAAGCATAGTTTATATTCATCTCTAACACTACCCATGTCAAATTATTCCAGATCAGATCTTGCCAATAGTTCATTAAAAGTCATTAATATGTCTTAACGTTATTGCAGCCTTTTTTTTTTTTTTTTTTTTTTTTGACAGATGGATCACATTGGTGCCTGGCTCATCCTATAAATAGTGACATCAGGACTTCCTTTTCCTTTTTTGTTTCCAACTGATAAGCAGACAGGTTAAGTAGTAATAACAAGAATTTCTAACATGACTGCATGAAGCCCTGTGCTTCCAAGAAAGCTGTGGTTAATATTGCAGAAGCTGTAAAGGATGATTTTGTTTATGGTACAAAAGATAGAAGATGTAGAAAAGTAATCAAGAGGAAACATGTTTCCTCACTAGGTGGCAGTATTTGCACGCTATCTTTCTATATGAAATTATTACAAACTACACAGAGTTAACAATAAAACAAAAATCCAGTCTCTAATGTGTGTTGAGGGAAACAGAAGGTAGGTATGGAACTTGTAATTGTGCTCTTGAAAAAACCACATCTCTCTGTAGATGACAAATCAAGCAAGAAATGCTGCAACAAAGAGTAAGAACTCTAGATTTGAATGCACAAACATATATAGCCTCCTTACTGGTGTAGAAAAAAAACAAACATAATTGTTTTAAGTGTATGGAAAATGCTTTGCACAAAGGCTCACTAAAGAAAATAAAACAATTTCTCACATTTCTGTTCAAGCCACTGCAGTTGACAGCAAGAGCAAAGCCTTCAGAGCACAGAAGCCATCCTCAAGCACAGAGTGCCCTTGACTAAAATGTTGTGAATAGCTTCTGATTTAATAATTAACTTTTTTCAATTAAAAAGACCAAAGTCACATCATGAACAAACACAGCAAGAGCATTCAAGAATAAATGTACACTTCTTAAAAGCCATGATTTCAAAAAATTAGAGAACATGAGAAGTCTCTGGAGGTAAACTGGTATTATTGAGTAAATAGTCAGGTTTATAGATATTCTTAGTTTTTAAATTAAAAAATAAAAAAGGCTAGTCTCTGTAATAGCTGGAGCAGAGGGCAAATTCTAACATGGATATAAACAGAGCAGCAGAGATCTGAAGATACGTGTGACTGATAAATAAAAAAAGGTATCAAACCATTAAAACAACCCTATAAAATGTGTATGACAGTTACAAGTATCTGGTAATAAAGCCAGAATCTTTTTTTTTTTGCATTGGCACAACCAACCTGATCAATATTGAGGCGAAGTGGCATTAGTGAAACACGTAAACAACATTCCTGTGGGGATCTGCCAGACTCTGGACGGACATGTAATGCTTTAACTGTTAGCTGAGAGAAAGCAACAAGATAAAAGTAGTAACATTCACAATTATTAAATCTCAGAACATTAGCTAGAAAAAACATTTACTGCAAAATCTCTGTACTAATCTGATTCCACTTATTAATTATAAAGTTAATATTGAATAAAAGACTTTTTATGAATGTTAAAGAAAAGAAAATTAGAATAAGGAAACCCAAAAAACAAATTCATAAATCCTTTATAGAGCAGTAAGACTACAGTATATCACAAAATTACAACTCTACATATGCAGTGAAAAGTCTAATCACACTCACAGAAGCAGATGTTTGCCCAAAACCAAAATCTGAAAGCTACCAAAGCAGTCCTGCACTTCTACTTTTTTCAAACTGACAGAATCTCAAAAAACATTAATACCTGACATACTAATATTCAAACTGACTTTTTAATTAGTTTTAATATCCACAAGGAGTCAAGCAAATAACTATCAACACGTTACATTATTTTCATGTTCCATGATCTCATGTTCCTCCTTCTGCAAGACTAAGAAACATACACAATCCTCACAATGATAGGCTAACCACGACAATTATAATGAATTAACATATTCTGTAACTGTACCATGTTTGAATGTGCTTTTCTGGGCATCTCCTTACTGCAATAGAGATAGAGAAATTTATTCATCTGTGACGTAGCTAAGCGATCTCTAATCTCCAGGTCTTGAACAATAAAAACCTGCCGTGACACTGGCTGCTCCACCAGACTGGATTCACCTTCTCCACCACCTGGAGGGTACACCTCATGCTGGAATTTCACCTTTTAATAAGGAAAGAAAACCAGCACAATCAGCTTCAGTAAAAATTGACCTTTAACAATAGAATACTACTTAAAAAAAACCAAACCAAACCAAACCAAAAAAAAAAAACCACACCACACAAGAACTTTAAAAGATGTCTACTTTTTCAAATTTATGGAATATTATTAGGATTTCTGAAAGCTATCCAGACTTTTGCATGTCTAGCAGTAGAAATCTTTCCAGTCTTAGTTGTGTACAGGTTCATGTTTTAGGATGCAAATCTGAGCCAAAACAAAGAGTCAGTGTAAGACAAAGAACAAGTTTTGCTTTTTGTTTTAATGTTGACTCTGGTTTTTCCTCTCAATCCCAACGTATTTCTTACATCGTATTGAAGCCTGTACTGGGCAATCTTGCAATTCTTGAATCCTGCACCTTCTACCTTCAGGAAAGTAAGGTTTCTTCCCTACCAAAAGACTTCTTGGGTCTTCTTCTTCCAGTCTTAGTTTCCTTTTTCTTTGCTCACTTTAGTCCGCATAAATTCTAATCTATTACCTTTCCTAAATTCTAAAGCATTTTGAATTACTTCCTTTTCCTCATCTCTTGATGTAGTTCCCATTTGCAATCGGAGACCTGTGGCTGCCTACAAATCATTCCCTGTCTCAATAAACCCCATAGCATCCTTGCCTGCAATGTCACCAAGCAGAGCACACACAGCAAGCACAAGAGTGGCCTCTACTGGTGAGATACTGAGACGTTAAGAAACTGTATTTATGTGCCCTGTACTCAAGATGTGAGAGATGAAACTTTGAGAATGAACATTTCATGTGCTGAATAATAATATCCAGCTATCATCAACTGATACACTGAGCGTGTCAACAGATCTACATTCCAGTTATTTTGCTAGAACATGTAATGTCATAACAGGTGTACCAATTCAGAGTAGAACCAAAGACAGAAAAACAGAACAGCAGTTGTAAAACATGGTTATAATAAACAAAAACTTTAAGAATATTATACTAAACATCCTTCATCTTTAGAAACATGTTTATTCGGCAAGTAAACAATACTGTGCTAGAAGAACAAATACATTTTTGTTAAACAAATTCTAAATTTATCACCTTCAAAGTGATTGCTGAGATGTAGATATCAATGGAAGAAGTCCTCCTAATTCTAATGGAAAGCTCTTACCAAACAGGTAGAACATGTAAAGATATTTACACACAGACAGACATGGATGAAGCTGTTTCCATCATTCACCTTGCTTAGCTGTATTTCCATTAGGAAGTCTGGGTTTCTTCCTCTTCCCCCACATGCTGTACTCCGTCCATGCCTTGTTGGTGTATGAGAAGGAGAACTATGGGGACTTCTGCAGAAATAAAAAAGAAAAATGCACTTTCACAGATTAAACTTGAAGCTATCTCACTGTCAGTATCACTCTAAAAGCGTGTATGTTTCACTGGATATAACTGTTAGTATTTTAATCGTTACAAGATAAATATACTAGAAAATACAAAAAATATTGGAAGTTGTGTTACTTTTAACCAAATAAATACCTTTTTTTTAATTGTTCAAGTAATGCATACTTAAGCCAAAAGCTAGGTGTAAGCTTCCCACTAAACTGACATCCATAAAACATTTTTTAGCTTTGGCTATGATAGTATTAATTACTCTTTAGCTTACATGACATCCTGAAAGCCAGACTCCAGTTACTCTAGCAATAGTCTCTTATTCTCCTTAAGCTCCAATCTCTTTAGAAAAATTTAACTTCTAATATAACCCTTAAAAGCAAAACCATCTCTCCATCCTAAAAAAAAAAAAAAAAAAAAAAAAAATCACCAAAATCAAACCCAGCTTGTTCAGGTTCAGACACGGGAAAAATATACTGCGGTGTGTGGAGCTAAACCGAATAAGAAGATGCTAGATGACTGTTAAGATCCCTTCCAACCCAAACCATTCTGATTGATTTTTTGTGAGGAGGAAACGAAAAAGCAAGGAAGACTTGAGATTGAACAGTTATATTAACCTCAAATTAAAGGAAAACTAAGCATTTTAAAATATTCTAACCTATAGAATTACATCAAAAACTTACATGAAACTTTTAGCTGGAGATGTTGGTGGTGCACTCCCAAAATCCCTTCCACCATACAGATGCCAAATAAGAGAGATTTCCTTTACAACATAGCGTACCAGAGGAACAGGAAAATGAAGAGGAGCTTTGCTTGTATCTGTTTTTTTAATAGGTTGGCTGAAATGATTTTCCTTTATGATAATTGCATCATCAACCATTATTTTTATTACTGGCTCTTCCTCTTTTTCCTAATTTAAAAAAAAAGTATATAGCATTGAGAAGGTGAAATCTGCTTTCTTTATTGAGATGTCTAATTCTATCCTATGAAAATAAAATAAACTATACCACACTGTCTTCTAAAGCTTATACAATACAGGCTTGATTTAGGAATGATTCTTACAAAGCAGTTTTAAAGACAAAAGCACAAAACTAGAAGCTGAGAACTAGTTAGAAAAAAAAAAATCCTCATCCAAACTGCAAAAAAAACCAAAACAAGAGTTGAAAACAAACAAAAAACCGTGGAAGAGCCCAGGCTACCATATTAGCACTTTTGGAAACAAACAAGCTCAAAGGTAACTGGGCAAATACAGCTTCTAATCAGGAATCCAGAACTACTACTTTCTACTAAGAATACAGCCAGAGATACTATGAAAAACGTGAACAGAAGCTGTTTTCAAAGAGCTAGAGTATGGTTTCCTAAATCTTTTAATGCGGCCAACAGACAGTGCTGGAAAGTGACACATTAGCTTTTCTCTGAGGTTTGGCAAGGATCTTAGTCCCATAAAAGCATTGCAGTTTAGACTACAAGAGAAATTAATAAAAGATTAGAAGATGTGCAAAGCTGCTATTTTGATAAATACTGTACTTTGCTTAAAACATTTTTTTTTTCTAACTATGCTATTACTGTAAGTCAAAATGGCAATGATAAACCTTGACTAAAACATAGGAAAACTGTCATGGAATTAATGTAATATAAAGATCAGAGAACAATTACATACTGCTGAGACACATAAAAAACATATATACTTGCATTCTTTCCTAACAGTAACAATGCCTGAAGTCCTTTCAAACAGAAATATTATTTTTCTTCTACTCTGCTCACTGATAAGAATATCACTAAGCAATCACAAAAAGCTATGAAGTCTAATTGGTACAGGTCTTACACAGGCTTTTCTCTAATTCAGTTTATATATGGATTTTTTTTTAGTAATTTTCAAAGCTTCTTACAGCAACAGCAACTTTGGGTGCAAAAAGAATGCAGAAATCATCACTTTCTGCGGGAACATCTCCCATTGCCTCATTTATCAGGTGATGAGTGAATGAAGTGTAAGTGGGACTTGGCTCTTGTGAAACATTTCCACTTTCATCTGGAAACAGGAAGAGATCTGAGCAAGATGGCTCCCGAGTTTGAGATCTGTCATCCAGAATTCCTGGGAGTTGAACAAGGGTGGGGAAAAAAAAACAAACCAACAACGTTTCAGTGGAAAAATCTTTACAAAATAAGAAAATATTAACAAAATAACATAAGAAATAACTAGAATTTGTTACTTCAATTACATCAAGGGAATTTGCTTATTAAATCTTCAACCAATTCCCACTATAAATAAAATACAATTTTCAAAAATTAATTTACTGTACAATTGAAAGTGATTACAATATAATCATAACTAGTTCCTTAGTAGAGATGAACTGACAAAATATAGAAAAAGTATTTGTAAAAAAAAAAACCCCACAGGTACAACAAAAAAAAAAAAAATCCAAACATTTTTATGCCCAAGTTAGTAAAACCACAGCGTCAATAATGTTCAGCACTACACTGACTGCTCACCTTCCACATCCAAAAAGAGGACCAGACATCATGGAAATAGTGAAATTCTCTATTTGCAATGCAAAATCCTTAGCCAGTTTAAACCTGGATTTAACTCTAGCCATGATGCAGAAACCATAATCCTGTGATAAAATGAATTATCTTGTTCTATCTGCTAATTGAAAGATTTCCTCATAGCTAAAAGTTCTTTCTGTGACTCAGAACTGTATCATCCTCAGACTGCCTTCATGCATAGAACAGAGATCTTTGATTCCTTCACACTGCAGTATGCCATATAGATTGATACCCATACTAACTTACACTCCTAGATAATCTGGGGTCTTGACAGAGTCCCACGAAGACAGATCCCTTCCTTGCAGTTTTCAGTATCTCAGTAATGTGTATTTGACTAGAATCTTAAATTGCTTTTGTACTACTGCTATTAAACACAAGAATGTGTTTGATAGTTTGAAGACTTTATACATCAAAGGTACGCTCCCATTGTTGTTGCAGCATCTCTACATACACAAAACTTTCAACCTCACTTTCCTTCCAGAAAGGTTGCACTTTATGTGTACCTATGCATCCAGAGGATTCTTACCATTAGACTCTGGTTTCATGGCAGAAGCAGCCTGTTGAGTTTCAATTTCCTCCATTGCATCACTCATCAAATCCCGTAAAATCTGTTGCTCTGATTCAGCAAGGACTGGTCCATGGGAAGATGGCTGGCTAAAGGTCTCTACCTGTAGGAGAGGAACTATACATAGTTACATCTTAAAGACAACTGCAATATCGTGCTGAATAGCATTTTGGTAGAACGGCTTGATACACAGTTCTTAAACTGTAAGAAGTAACACCTTAACTTTGTAAATAATCAAGTGAGCTGAAACTCTGAGATAGATGATTCATAAAGTAGGTTAGAACATTGTGGTACAGGGTACCATAGATCAGAGTACTTGTACAGCTCGTATCTGTCCTTGAAGTTCCTTCTTTAGATAAGAAAAAAGTACAATAGGTAAACAGCACAAATTTTAAAATATCAAGTGCCGACCAAGGCAGAAAAAAAGGCACCATTTTATTCTCAAATATGTTTTAAGTTAGATACAATCTGTTAATGTCTTTGCAGGAAATCTGATATTCCTTGGAAACAGAATGGGGATATAAAAATTAAAACATATTAGCATAAAGTTAAGTTGATATTATTTTACCATGTCATACCTTCATTTTCGGTTTGCTAACTCCACGTTTAATCTCTGTCTTAGAGGGTGGATGTAAATCACCATAACTTGCAACATATTGTATAAGATTCATTAGTGCAGCACATGAATCAGAGCAGGTACGAATATGAATTACATCACTGGAACAGTGGAGCTCAAAACGTGGTTTAGTCTAGATAGCAACAATAAAAACCATAAAAACGCACTTCAAATCCATATAAGCTTCCATAAAAATAGCATCTATACACAATTATTTTTAAATTAATTTACTTAAGTGATCAAAAAGGACTTAAAAATAATACAAGTAAACTGAAAAACCTTCCTTGGTTCTAAGTATAACAAAGCAATTTTCAAATCACAATCTGTCATGGAGATTTTACATTTTATTTTATTTGTGATTAAATACTTACTCTTTCCTCATCAGAATCAGATTTTACTGCTGTAATGGTTAGTTCCAGCAGTCCCATATCCATAACACGAACATAATCTGAAAGACAATGAGTAATTAAAAAAACAAACAAACAAAAACATTAAGACTTAATAACAAACATCATCCTTACTACATATTTTTGGTTATTAAAACATTAGAAATAGCATGAGCACAAAAAGGGATCTTTTTTGTCAAAACCTTTTATATCTTTGTATTTCCTTCTTTTATGAGGATTATTCTGAGAGTTCAAGTTTCAGCTACTCAAATCAAGAACTCAAATCTTCTCAATCCATATATCACTCCCACTGCTACCATCTCTGTGCATTGTGATCTTTAGAGTTATTTATCCTCAGGCCATCTGTGCGAGTTCAAGAAATAAAGGCACATAGAAGTTGGATGACTAAGCATCCTATCATTTTTTTTAGTTGAAGTGAGAGAGGACATTTCACATTGTACTAATCTTTCAGTAGCAGTAGTAACTTATTTCCCCTCTTTCTTCTTTAAACAAAACAGACATATCTTTACTCCGTCCTTCACTAGAGATCTCTTACCTAAGCTAAATACACACATTTGTGGGCACACGGTTTCATTATTTCTCCATTTCACTTGTTAAATATTGATTCAAGTTCCTCAATCCCTGAAGGTTGTCACCAAATGAATGAGAGCAAACCAGTTGGTTTCATCCTTTTCAGAACCTATAACTCTGTGCCATATAACACCTTTCAAGTTCAACTATCTCATAAAATAAGATCTCTTTTCTGTGAAGATTTCTTTCTGTGTCAACTCCAGATTTTAAAAATACACTTTTTGCACACACCCTATAAGGAACTGTAACAAGAAAATTAAGGGAAGTTGCTGTTCTCTAACATACCTCTACATCCACAAATCCAAACTAGAGCACTCAAATTTTCATCAACACTGCATTATTAATTCATATTCAACTTGCTGCTCCTTATCTCCTCAGATCTCTTCATATATGCTGAATATGCCTGTATTTTTCTGTTTCTTTAGGCTCTGCATTTCATTAGTCACATGTACAACATCCTTACCTCTATGGAGATTCACTGTAACAGTATTGCACTTGTCAGACAGATGCAAAGCAGCTTCATCTAAAATTATCCTGAAAGAGGAAAAAAAGATGAAAAAAAAAAAAAAACCACGCTAAAGAAATGCTGTGCAATTCACCAGACAAAAGAAATCAGTAGAGAAAAAATATTTTAAAATACAAATATACCTAGCATATCTTAAATCCAAACTCTTGACTTAAACCTTTCATAATTTCCAAATCCACTGGTAATCAAATGCTGAAAGATACGTTCACTATCACTACTTATACTTTATTTGCATTTCAAATTATATATTTGACCCTTCCTAAACTAAAAAATAATGCTTCTGGCATATAGAATTAACACTTATTTCCTTATTTCCTGGGGTTTTTTTTTAATAAAATAACAGACACATTTGTTTCAAAGGTCATTTGCTTGTTTCTATTGGTAAAACCTTTTAACTTCACAGGTGTTTCACATCAGAACAGACATAACAGAATGAATATTCAACTAAAGTTACAAAAAAATTATTAAAAAGTTACAAATATGTCCAGTATTCACTAAATATTTCCTTAATTAATATACTGTTTCCAAATAACAAATCTTCAAGAAATCTGAAAGTGCTGCTGCGGGGTTAGACTAGATGATCTCCTGAGGTCCCTTCCAACCCCTATGATTCAGTGATTCTGTGTAATTAACAAAATAGACACAATTTAATTTCAGACAGCTACAACCTTCCGATTGCAGAATCGCTAGTTGTTAAAGAAAGCAATCCAACTATTAAAAAAAGTATTTAGCCTAATAAAATAGAAGGATTACACAAAAGCAAAGCGTATTTCAAACGATGCAAACCAGTGTGATCATTTACACACCACAAATGGTACCTAGGTCAAAAAAGCAGACAGGTATTAGAAGTTTTATGGGACTTACGATGTTTCACAATCACTTAAATTATACCTGAGAGTAGAAGAGGATTTATCTACTGCAACACTGCTGGAAATGCTGAAAGTTTCAACAGTAAGTAGAGATCTGACTGGCAAAAACAAGGGCCTAACAATAAATAAGAAAAAAACAAAAAAAAGTATTAATATTCTGTATTTATTTAGAACTGCAATCAAAGAATTACAGGTTACCTAACTAGATCTTCCCAGGTCTAGGCAAGTGCTTATCCTACATTAACAGTTTAAGGGATTTCTGTTAAGTATTTTTTCCAAACAAGCCTAATAAATACTCTTTACAATATGCAAACTCAAACGTTTCTAAAGAACAGATAGCTGCAGTGCCACCAAGTGACATACACTTGCATTTTATTTACCTGTAATCAAGAGCACAACTCCATAGATGTACATGAAAAGTTGTAATCGTAGCTGGAGGATTATATCCCAGAACGGGCTCATCAGAAATATTCAAAAAATATAAAATCTAAAAATCACAAACATATTATTATAATACTTCAATGTCTGTTAAATTAATAAACAAATATCCATTAGAAAAGAGAAAATCTGTAACAGATACAATAAAATGTTTGATTAGTAGAAGGAAAAGGGAATAAACAATCTCAGATATCTAAAAGTGCTTACCCAGTACATGAATACAGAAAAGCACAGAATGTAAACAAGGCAAAAAATACAACATCCAAACTGCAGCCTCAAAGGTTTGGAAAATGCCAATCCACAGATGCCTAAGTGGCTCCTGTACAATGTCTCACAATCCATTTTTAAAGCACTCCCCAAATTCAGTCTCATTCATCTTTCTTTGCAGTTGTTATTTTAGTGTTAGCATTTTCTTTGTTCTTTTTTTCTGAACAGTCAACTTTTCTTATAATACTGCACATTGTTAAAGTAATCTTCAAGTTATCTTTCTTTTTCTTTGAGGGAAGGGCAGGGAATATGCTCAGATTCAGAAATATGTGCGCATGCACTGTATATATTGCTTTTTCATGTATTACTGCATAAAATAAACTCCTATCCTCCTCTTTACGATCTTTTATAGTTCTCTCTCATACCTGTTATACTATAAATCTTTTTTAATTACTCCAAGCCTGGGGCATACCAACACTGTTAGCCTTTTAATTGTTTCCTCTATCTACCTCTTTAGCCAATTTTTTTATTTCCCCTCTCCCTCTCCAAAAAAGATTCTGATTTTTTTTATTTTTTTTTTTTAAAAACAACATGGTGTAGAACAGGTTACATGAACACATAGGAATACCATTCCGAGAAGAAAGTAATGACACAGCGGAGTCCAAAGTACTAAGGTTCAGCTCCACGCAGTTGTACAACAAAAACGCATGTAAAAATAAGTATTCCATATATACTGGAGGATAAGCTTGAATGTCAGGGTTTACTACATGTAATCCAGCATGCTGTAAGTACACACAAGTACACGCAACTGAACTGCTACTGTGCTAACTGCGGGTCCCAGCTCATGCATGTTTACACACAGCTTCTGGATTAAGAGCCTCTAGCCCTACCTGCTATGCAATACCTCAGCATCCACACACACCACTACAACCCTTCTAATTCAGAAGTTTGCACTACAAGCATTTATTTAAACTGCTGCTTACTACTTCCCCAAAGTTGTCTTCTCCATTACTGTTATTCAAACAATGTAAAACAGGAAACAGACAAGGGAGAAACAGGATTTCAGGAATGAAGTGAGAAGAAGGGGAAAAGTAGCATGTTTGTTTATTTTGAGTGTGTTTTGTTTGTTTGTTTTAAATCAAGGATTATCTAAGCACTTGGATAGCACTGGACTTCTGAACTTTTTTTAAGAAACAAACAAACAAAAAAACCAAACCACACCAAAAGAACCCCAGGAAATCCCTGACATGTTGTGGGCAGAGATTTAGGATGATGAGAGGAACTGCAGCAAATGAATATACAAGTAAGAATTTAAAAGCAAGACTACAGTCTGTCATGGTCTCAAATAAAGAGAAGGAACAAAAGTAAAGAATAACTCTCAAGAACACAGTAAGATAGTAAGACACAGTCTAACATAAAGATTTTCCATCAAGGTTTAGTTTGATACTTAAAACAATTATTAAAGCAAGGAGACTGAAATTGAAGGTGTAAGTCAAGAAAACTGTAGCGACCAGACCTGTTCGTGCCAGCTTAAACCTGAAGGCAGTACTCTATGCTGAAGGGTTGCTCCTCTTAGTCCAACAGCAACCAGAAATTCCTGCACAAGAAAGTTGCATGAGTTATACAAAATACACATAACTATTTGACATCTAGATTATGAAACACAGTCATCCTTCTGCTCCCAGAATCTCCAAGTCTCTAGAAACGAAGAAAGGACTGGGTCAGTAGTAAACATTAAAAACCCCTTGCTTCCTAATAAAGGAACCTTGGCTAATAGTCTAATATTTTTTGGAACAGTATAATTTAGAAATTACAATTTTGTACTGGTGGTAGGAAGGAAGGCTACTTGTTTATTCATTCTGGGATTCACCAAGAATTACCAGGAGTACCAACCCAATGTAGTTCTTTCTAAAGATGTTCAAATCTGAGTCAATTGAGCTCCCATGACATTGTGCTGGTCTGCAAATTCCTTCTTCTCCAGATAACTCTACCAACCTGTTTGTCACTACTATGCCAGCTAAGAGGTCATCTTTTAGCCATGCTAATGAATGCTACTCCCAAAGCCAAATGTATCACTCATCTACCAGGGCCACTCCAATGAGGCAAGCAAAGGCTGCCTATGAGATGAGACTGCTAGTAAGCTGAGCAAAAGCTTTTACCTCTAGATTTGTTCTTGCCTAGTTTAGCACCAGATTAAAACTCAACCAAAGAAAAACAATAAAAAGGTCAACTGGCCAAGAAACGCATTCAGTAAAGAAATACAGTGTGATCAGCAAAGTGAAGCATTGGAAGAATTCGTAAATTATGCTGATACTTATATTTTAAAATCCACCTAAAAGATTCTAACAGAAAATTATAGTTTTGACGATGAATGACTCAGAATTATATCATTTCTTCATCTATAACTCTTATAACCCACATCTAGATGCTTCCATATAAACTGAGGTAACTCAATTTATAAATGCACAAATTTGAAAACACAAACCTTTGTGTTGCTCTCTATTTTGTCTGTTTGGATTTTGACTGCAACAGTCAGCATACTTGGACAATCCACTCCTACACCATCCGAAGTAGTCCTACTAAGACCATCTTCTTCAGAAAAACAAATAGTAGGTTCTAACCAATGGGGACGTATTGTGCTGGGCAGTCGTACTTCAGAGGAAGGGATGACCCCATCTACCATACCTGTAAAGAGATTTTAGAATTAGTTACCTCGTGCTTTAAAGCTGTTACCGATTAAGAGTTAAGGAAAATCCTTTTTATACTTAATGCCTTTAAAATTATTTTAATTATCAAAATTAGTCATGCACACTGAAAACTAAAAATTGTGCAGGGGATGTGACTATAAGGTTTGGGGTTTTTTTAATTTATCCAACAAAATGGCAAAGTTGAAATAAAGGACAGAAATCTCCTATGGATTACACGGAAAGATAGGAATATGTCTCATTTTCATTTTATGAGATGGTGCAAGGTTAAACTCTAAACACACAATAATTAAACCTTGCACTGAAAATCCATTAACTTGAATACCACTGACCCAGACATTTGAGGGGAAAACCTTAACAGGTTTAACTACATGGGAGTTACCAGCCATACAAACTACATAGTCAACTTAAAATTCTTCATCTCCTGACTACAATTAGCTACCCAGGAAAGATAAAGTAGCCACTGGTAACCTGTAACTTTTAAAATTAGATATCCCATAACATGTTGGAAGCGTGTACTTTCATAATAAAGAACAGACTGTACTGCTTAATTGCCAGAGGACCACAATATCTTTAAAGACTAGCAGTTGCCAAGGAAAGTTTTAGCTGAACAGGAACTAAGTAAATATAGTTATCATTAAGTTGTATTACTGTAGCATTTCGGAGCATAAGCCATGAAGTAAATCTATTGTCCCAAATCATACGCTATCAGAGGGAGAGGAAAAAAAAGAAAACAAAACTTCAAGTTTATCTAATTTCAAATTTAGTCCCAAAGCCACCTTAATCCCACCCCTACCTTGATGATATAAATTTAGGCTGCTAGAATGGAGACAAACATAGTGTCTGTCCTCAAAGCCTTCATATTTAGTCACGCTGAAAAGTGAACCACTGTTGAACTCAAACCAGAATTCGCCGTATTTTCCTTCCAGTGTATTTCCATCATCTTGCTGAAGGAAGAACAGAAATGATAAAATGATAGCTTGCTGAGTTTGCTGCAGTTAGACAGTCTAACATAACACTTGCTACCAATACATATTTTCCTGCTTGCATTTAGTTATTCTCATGTAAAACAAGTAGAATTGCTAAACTATTGTGTTGCATTATTGTCCACAATACACTAGTATGAAGATTACAGAATTACTGTTGTAAATACTTGTTCCTTCCAAAAACAGTACATACAGCATGAAGGAGAACCCATGGTCAAAGCAACAGAACAACTTTTTCCAGCCCCAGTGTCTCACCTTTACATCTGTGAATACTGATACTAATCCATGTGTCACATTTAGCAGAACAGACAGAAAGCTCTGTGAGTTCTTATTCTGAGAGTCAAGCTTTTTCCTTCTGCGTGACCGATAGTTTGGATCAACAGTGGAATAATACTGTAGCGTTTCTTCCTCAGATCCACTCTCGTCATCTAATAGATAAAATGAAAAACAACTAACTCTCTAGCTCGTGCATGTATTATGCCAATACCTAATTGTTGTTCTCTTGGCAATGTGATTAAATTTCACACTTATTTTACTTAATTAAACAGTAATTATGTTTTTTCTTCTTGATTTAAGTAAATCCTTTCTAATAAGCTTGCAAATTCTTTCCATCATCAGCTTAATCACTTCAGCCAGTTATGCTTTTGAATCACAATAGTTTCTAGATGATTTATTAAGTGTATTACCATAATGAACTGCAGATTTAAATTGACTAAAGCTGTCTTTACTGAAAGTGTTGATGAGCTGGCTGGCCACAGATAGTCCAACACCGTAAGAAAGGTTTTCAAATGTTTCTACAGGAGACGGAGCTGTGGGTTCCCACAACAATAAATCATTGCTGATCCTAGGAAGAAATGCATTATCATTATACAAAATATATTACTATATTCCAACTTAATATAAGGTCAGTAAAGCAGTGTTTCCTTTGCAGACTTCATATAACAATTTCAGATTTCATAAACAAGAAAGAAAAAAAAGTTCAAGAGTACAATAAAGAAGAATGTATTCATGAGTAAAAGCAATTAATAATTAAAGTAACTTTTTTCTGTAATTATGGTATACACATATCAAAGTCTAACATTTGACAGCGACACAAAAAAGCCTCTATTAGCAGGAGTATATTAGCTCAGTAGGTTGGAGGAAGGGTGACAAAATCCTATCTTGATCACATCCATTTTCAAGCAAAGTTGCAAGAAACATTAGTTCTTTTGATTTCAAGTGAGTCTGTGTCCAGCAAGGTAAAAATATGTGACATCCAGTACAGAAGTACACCAACAAAATATTCAATGAACTGAAGTGAAAAAATGCTTTGGAAGTAAAACAATACCTATGAGAGGCTAAAATAGATCAACATCTCTTTATAGAGCTAATGCGTAGCATAATACCTATTTTTTATTTGATTTAAATCTAGTTGTATTTCTTTGTTTATCAGACAGAAAACTAACAGAAATAAATGCTGAACGCCTATCTGTAAGTTG